TTCTCTCACCCTCCCGCGCTTCTGACTGTACCCAGTGCTTGTATAAATAAATAAATAAATCTTAAAAAAAAAAGTTAAAAAAAAAATACTTTAGTATGAGAAATTTACAGCTTTTAAAACATGAACACACCACTAATACCGTAGTTTAATTTGTTCTGGATTTCTAAATTAAGAGAAGATTAAGATATTAGCCGTGAAAATACATCTCATTATCCTTTTGATAGAAGCTCAGAGTCACTTTAAGAAATTGACATGATGTCAGAACACATCCCTACAATGACTACCTGCAAAATTTCCTAACTTTTGTGATAGTTATAATCTTACCTTATACAATTCTTCCCACCCAGATGTCCACTTTGAAATCCAAAGAGGTTGAACTAGATATTCTCTAAGGTTCTTCTAGTTCTATAATTTCATGTCTTCATACTTCAAACTGTAAAAACCTCTTTGTAAAAAAGAAAAAAGACTATTCTTCAATATGGAGTTATGTGGAATAGAGGGTATTGTTTCATAATTATTCTCAAGAATATAGAGCAAAATACCATAGATATTACATAGAGGAAAGTAGTTATTTGAATTTTTTTCTGTTTGAGCCATAATGTTAATGTTGGAGTTGACTTTAGAGTTCATCTAAAGTGAACTCTCAGCAGCTTTGGTAGGCTCACACAACACTGCACGGAGATTGGTAAAGCTAAGCCTTGAACCTCAGCTTTCTCCACCAGCTAAGTCTTACCACATTTTGTTCACATTTTGACTTGACCTTGAACATGCTTTTATATACTTTTAAACAGTTTGAGAAATAGCTTGTTACCTTGTTTTCCTTAGCTACTGTACTCAAATATGTGCAAAGTCTTTTGTATATGTAATCCATGTAGAACTATGATATGGAGCCATAGAACTAGAAGAACCTTACAGATTGTCTAGTTCAACCTCTTTGGGTTTCAGATGGAGAAAATGAGAAGGTAAGCAACTGGCTCAAGGCCACAGAGCAGCAAGTAAGCACAGCTGGAGCCCCTAGTCCAGATAGCCTGGATTCAAGTCTGGTTCTCTTACTACTGTGTTATTTCCAGTGTCATGCACCTATCTGAGAGGATGATTAGGTGTTCAAACAAGGATCCAAACAACAGTGGGGCCTTGTGACTCTTGATCCAATTACCTTATAAGTATTTGCGATGTTGATAAGTCAGCAATTTGCCAAAGAATCATGAAAAAACTCATCTCAGAATAAACTGGGATATGCAAATGCAGAGGTGGTTATAAAGATGAAAAATAATTTCTTTATTTAAAAAATTAAATATGTTGTGAAACACATGGGTTCGGGTGAGCCACTTAAGAAAATAGTATTCTCCACGACATTTCATTGCTTTGAGAATTATGCATTGGAACTGGAGCTTTGAAAATCTCAGTGAAGAATAAAGGCAGGAGGAAAGAGAGCTGCTTGTCAACAGTAACCTACAGACAAATGCAAACCCGGGCTGTGTCCTGAGAGTTTTAGGTAATCCAGGCTCATAATTTGATTTGAGAAGAGCTACTCCAGGCTACTGTGTAATTATAGAAGCATTCACTCGGCTGGCTCCTGTTCCCCTCATCTCGTTCTACTTCATTGCCCTTTATGCTAAAGCCCCTGTTGATGAGGGGGCGGAAACAGTAACTACAAATAAAGCAATTAGCAGGTGGGGAATGCTACCACTGTTTAAGGATAACATCCAATCTTTATTGGTACTTATTAAGTAGAAGTCTAGAGCTTAGAGACAAAGGGAAATATCACAAACCACAAAAATAAGAGGGAACAAAAAGAATACGGAAAAACCATCATATCTATTTTATATTTCACAAATCTAATCACAAAGTCAAGCTATAAAAATAATACCAAACCTCCAATTTGTTTCTATCATAGCATGTTACATTGTCAGGTGAAATTCACCCTCTTTTAAAGTTTTCTTGCATTTTCTGAGCTGACCTTTACTATGTGATTTAACCTTTTAAATATTTTTAACGATTATTGTGTTCAGTGGAGACTTGGGTTTTGAGTTTGGGTTGTAGTTAGACCCACCAGCAGGGGGAGTTAGGATAGTTAGCAAATCTCTCTCAGAAGAGCACAGATTGGCAGACTGTTGTCAGAGTTGAAAATGCCCACTGTAGATTAGGAATATAATATGCAGAAGGAGGAAAGCAAGAGGATTCAAGTATTCTTGAAAGCCTAGCACAAGATATTAAAGGTGGACAAGAAAATAAGTTAGATTTTCAAACGCTCTCCATTGACAGAGTAATCCATGTACCCTGGCTCTCCGTTTACTTATCTGAAAACAGGGATAATAAAAACCTATCCATCCAGAGTGCTGTAATTTCTTATTTCTTGGTGTACAGCATTTCTCTTCTTGCTCCAGTCTTATCTGGTGTGTCTGGGTAGTAAGGTAGAGGAAAAATGATTGAGCTTCATCTCAGAACAACTACAAAATGATGCCTCCAGCTTTTGATTTGGGCCCAGTGCTTTTGTCTGTGAATGTCTTATCAATTAGAGCTCCACTGACAAATCCAGCTATCTAAGCAAGATATAGCTTCCTATTTAAATGGTAGATTTCCCGCTAGTCAACTTAAAGATACGGAAGTTTGCAGAAAAATCAATGTGCTTATCTTTTGCCTTAGTGAGGGAAGGGTACTGTGGACAGAGACATGTTCAGATCTGAAAGATAATGTCCTTATAGCATAGTTGCATGTTTAATAGAGCAGCAATTGATATTACAAAATTAAGTCTTTATCCTAATGCTAGGAAAACTGTAGTTTCTTTTAGGACATACTTTGGTTTTTACTGTAGGTGCTCATATCCTCTTCCTCTTTTTCATCTTTCCATCACTTAGCAGCCATTTGAGGCAGACCCAGATGGTCAAAAGTAAAATCACCTGGGTGATGATACTGCGAAGTATGCTAATTTCAACATTGATGGAGACCACATGGCCTGGATATGACAGGACAGTATCTTAGATTAAAGGTCTAAAGAGGATTATGACCTGGTGTTCCCAAGCACCATTTATATAGGCAAAGCATGGAAAGATGTTGCGCCAGCAACACCACACTGATAAACGGGGGTCGTGGAGCAGGCTGCACAATGCAGGATGCTGCTGAACAAGCAAGATCCTGGGCTTTTTATTGATAGAATAATCATACATCATCAGTTACGTGGGGTATGAGGACAAGGAGAGAAAAGATGGATGAAAATAAAGAATGTGATTTCGTTATCTGGGGCTTTGGGGGGGACATGAGTCTGTTGACCAGATAATTCTTCTCTGCTTGATGACCAAGTGTTGTAATCAAAACCATACCCTAGACCCCAAGCCATGGTTCCAGTCTTATCAAAAAGGCATTCCACTGATCAGCTTCTGGAGTCCCTTGTCATACATTGGTCATCGGCCCCCAAGTGTTCCCAGTCATACCTCGTGATGCATACCCTTCCCAGGGTGATCAAGCTTTCTGCTCTGGGTTGATTTGAAAGGCACCTTGCAAGGTTTGGCTCCTATGATTGATCATAGGCTGGGCATTCTGACCTTATATAGGAATGCAGAACTACAGGAAACAAAGAATGGTGGCCAAACAGGCCGCTTAAGTCTAGCAGACCCACAGAAAGATAACTTCTAGAAGCATGCAAAATGTTGACTACTTCGCATTAAAATCTTTGTTGCCTTTGGATACTGCTAGTAAATATATAAATACAACATAGAAATTTTCTTTTGAAAGACATACTTTATATGTTCAAAACACACTTTATTTGAGGATCCCCTTTGTGCCCATGAGCTTTTATGAATACACCAGTCCTAGATGCTCCAAAATATCAAAATCCCCAAATGACAAATACTAAGTCACAGTTTTATAAATGCACATAATTTCTACCTGAATTTTCTCTCATTTTCATCATCTTTGTTTTTGTCAAATTTGCCACTGTTCCCTGAATTTGTTGTGTGGTGTTTATTTTTGAAAACATTTTCATAGTCATGAACTCACTTACTGCAACCTTTTGAATTTGACAGGGGAGATAAAAGCATGATTTTGCAGATAAGGAAATGGACACAGAGAATGTCTGTGACCCACTCAGGATGGAAGTGATCTCCACCTGTTACCAGTTTAAAGATACAAATGCAAGAAACTAGACATTGTTTTCAATAATTATTTAGTCATTGGGAATGATTAGTTCTTTGTAAAAAATTGAATAGAACAAAAGACTCCAATATCTTTCTGAACTTGAGAATCATGATAGTTTAGAAAGGTGACAAATGACAGAATGAATACAAAGTATGATTTATTTTTCACCCCTTTCTTTCTCACCCCTATATGTTTCCCATTGCATCAGGTTAAAAAATAAATTTATGGGCAACCCCAGATGGTTGTGATTGGGCCAAAAGACATGATCCTTACTACTTAAACCTACCAGGCTTTGAATGCAGTCACTGGAGTTGCCTCTTTTCTCTAAGACCTCACCTTACTCCCAAGGAATAAGAATTCAATTGTACTTGCACTTACACAGAGATTGCTAGGAATTTTTCTGCTTTGGCAAATCCGTAAGCACACCATCTTTGGTGCCCAGTTCATTTCCAACCATCTTGACTCCTAATCGACTCCATTTCCTCTTATAGTAAAGTGAACTCACAGTTGATCAGTTCAATTTATATTTGATGAAAACATTTTTCTGAGAACATACATGGACAACTTGAAGGACTAAACAAAATGACTATATTTAAAACAATGCTTTTAGACTATAGTATTTGTAAAGACTCAGGACAGTTAAAAAGACAAGTAACTTGCAGATTTGTTCTCATGAAGGAAAGCATTGTTATTTGGTGACTGTGAACGTAACCCGAAATATCCAGACACATGTTCCTCCTGTGTAGGTTTTCTAGCTCCCAATGTCACCCCTGGGTGCCTTTCAGGGATCTTCCCCTCTTTGACGGTAGCCTGAGGTTACTTTGGGACTAGCCTGGAGAAAAACTAAAGGAATTCTCTCCTTTCAGGTCTATAGTGGATCATAAATGATGACCTGTGTTTCTGTATGGCCGGCGTCTACACTGGATCCCATTTGAAAGTCCTGCAGGAAAGGCTGGGCATCCTATTCCAGGTGTCTGGGGAGCCAAAGGCACATTCCTCTTGCTCCCTCAAAGCCACACTTCATGTTATTTTGGGTGGTCTGCCTAGTGCCCGGATTTGAAAAAGTTTAGAGGAAAAATAAAAAGTATATTTAAAATTCACAAGTGAAATTCTTTCTCATGGATAAAACTTGATGTTAATAATGTAACATGGAAGTAGCATGGTTCTCTACTTACTATGAGTGTTGGTGACAAGAGGCCTGATGGGCGGTGATAGCACTTCCTTTTTCTTTCTGAGCAGCCAGTTCCCACCAGCTGTTCAGGCCTGTTTCTGACTATGCAAGTTGTTCCTTTTAGATACTCTTTTCTTTTCTTTTTTCTTTTTTAAATTTATTTATGCATACAAGAAATGGGGTATAGGCCAGAGATATGGGGGGGTGAGAGGATTCACCAGAGACAGAGTGGGGAGCAGAACAGGCAAACTGAAATACACTGCTGAGGGAAGCAGCAGGTGAGACAGGAGAGGTCTGCTGTGCCATGTGGGTAGCTCCCTGGCCTGCTGGGGATTGAACTTGTGCTGCAGAGGCTGCGGACAGCTTCATAGTGCGGTGCTTAACCCCTTGTGCCACCAGGGAGGCCCCATATACTCTTTTCAAGGCAGTTTCCGATGGTAGATGGAAGACACATTTTTCTCTGCCTCTCCATATGTCTGTGCGATCATTGACTTCTCAGAAAGTCCAGGTTGGAGGTCTTCATAAGTCAGCCTCACCAGCCTTTCTGAGCCAGATGCAAAGTACACACCCCAATTGGCTTGTAAAAGCAGTACATCTAATCACATAATTCCTCTATAATGTGGTTTTTTAAATTAAGTGACCCACAGGATATTAATCTGGGGGTAACAACTCCCGAGGGATGTGGTGCTGGCAAACACTTCAAGAGCAGCTAGTACTGCTATTAAATGTGATGCTCATTTCATCTGAACATATGGAAATAAAAACAAGTCATGGGAGAACTTCAGTGCTCTGTACATGCTATATTGTTCATAAACCTGTCATAAATAAGTGGCTCTTAAAAAGAAACCAATTAATAAATGTGCATTGAATTACAAAGTTTAAATATTCCATAATATGGGATGTCTTTCCCCGCCCCCTCTCCCACATTCCCACCCCTGCCAGGGCCCCCTGGTTATTCAAACTGTTATAATATTTTCCACTGTGTGGCACATCTCAGTTTTGTTGTTGTTGATTGAGTTATTTGGTTGGTCCGGCTGCTTAAAAAAAAAAAAAAAAGAAAAAATCTGCAAACTATAAAATGCATCTTCTTTTTTCCATTGTCTATGTAGTGGAGTCTGGCTTGGCACGAAGGCCCCACCCCAAACCTCCCACCAAGAGTATGTCATATTTCTATATGCTCCTGCACGTTTGCCTCTACCTCTTTTGAAATGATGCCCAAAAACCAAGCAATGTTTACATAAGGAGAAGAGAGTTTCACTTTTATGCTGCAATTTCTGCACGGAGCAGAGAGTTTTCCAAACCATACCTTGTACTTTGTTCGTGGGTGAACTTCTATTTTTCTAATGTGATGGTTTTATCCAGCTTTGACAGCAGATTTCTTTAGGAGATTACACACCTGGAATTAAGGTTTTCTGCCAAGTATTACAGTGCACCTGGAAGTACTAAATCATTTTTATCTATGTTTTAGAAGCTTTTTTGTAATGAAATAGCCTATCTTGAACTTGACCTGTCTCTTGAGGAAGAGAAGCTTCAGGGCAGAGCCCAGTAGATACATAAATGCTGGTGTTATGAAGTAAATACATCCAGGGTGTGTTTGCTCATCAGCAGCCAAATACTGAACACCATCTCCCTCAGTGTCTCACTTCTTAAATGACCCTGCTCACTGCATCACGTATGGAAATGTGAGTATGTACCTTCAGCCGATTGTTTGCCATGTTTACACCGGTTCTAACACTAATCCCCATTAATGTTTGATGTCATTCCCAACAGGCTGAAGTGGATGTCCGACACTATATCTGTTGCCCATGTGCTGGACATGATACACGCAGAGAGAATAAGTATTTTTTTAGGAATTTCTTTCCTAAAGACATTTTTACTAACTACATTATGTATTTTGAGAATGTGATATAGTTCCTAGGGGCACAAGTGCCACCAAAATGTAATATCAATTAATTTAAAAAATCATGTAGGAAATTCATTACAAAGTTTAGCTGTAGCCTTGCTGGAGCTCTATGACATTTTTCTTGTAAAACTGTCGATAAAACATTTCTCGGTGCAACTTCAAAACTGGCTTCAAGAGATTTGGAATTATGAGTTGGAAATTTTCTACAAACTCATGCCAACACAGCAGAAAGATAACATTGTGTGTGTTGGAAATTGCATAAATGATTTTGAGAGGGTGGAGGGTGGATGTATAATGCAAAAATTTAGAGGAAAAAAATTCCCTTTAGTTTTGCAAGCAACATTAGACCTCCCATTCTTGCCATGAAATCTGAATATGCTCTAGTTTTCCTGACATGAGGTCAGATTGTTGGAACAGCAAATGCTTTTTATCCTTAGGCTTCCTGGACTTGCTGTGTTTGGTTGTACCTGAAGTTTGCCAAACTGGTTCTGCTTATTCTTGTCAAACAAGGATAATTTCTTCTCTTGATTGTCTCTGATATAGTGTCAGCATTTTAAAGGCCAAAAGTTGCCATAGTGACAAAATTATACGAATATAAATATTTATGTTGTTTTGACAAAACTCTGTAAGATTACAAGAAAGAACAAAAATCATGGAAAAAGCATATATAAACAGATTTTTAAAGGCAACATAAGAATGAGTCTGTAAATGATGTTTAGTACAGAAAATAGGGAATATAGAAAACAAAATATAGATACATTAAAATATGTCAGCTATCAAATTCAAAAGCAAAAAATTGAATTTCACAAATTACCGTTCTCTGTAACTGAGGTCTGATTTTATATGAATGTGACTAAATTCTACCCCAGCTATAGATAAACTCATTATGTCCTTTAAGTAGTTCGAATTTCCTGATAACCAACAGTCAAACAGAGGAACAAGCAGAATTAGTAGCCAAGTCTAATAAACGACTGGGAAAAATTGTATCTGTCTCATCCTTCTGGTTCCCACACACTCTGGTTACATCATTACTTAGCCTGTAAACTCCAACGCCAATTGGGCTCCAGGGCTTGTGTCAGGTGATCAAAACATCAAAATGCGCCTGAAACTCTACCCTAAAGATGGGGTTTCAGCAGGGGCCTCTGGATAGCTGACTCCTCTGCGGCTGCTGTGCAATTTTCGTATTTTATTTCACCTTTGCTTTCAGGCTTAGCTCTTGGTCCCACAGATTGACGGCTGAAGCAAACTTGTTGATGTGGGTTTTTCTGTGCAGGTGCGTGGGCAAAATTATTTCCTGTACCACATACAACACTCAGTTATGTAATAGCTTAAAAAAAGAACTGGACTTTCCCCTGTGAATTGCTTTTCATCAACAGAGAGAATTCTGACTGCTTCCTTTTATGTTTTTGTTTTTGAAAAAAATTCTGTTTTATTTCTAAAAATAATTTAATGTCTAAATCCACAAAACTCAAAAGCTGTTGATCAGGCCCACTGGATGCAACTCCCAGACGAAGCCAAATGCTCTGCTCCTCTTAAAGGAACGGAATGTGTAACTCTATCACCATGCTAAGGTTTCACAGGGCAAGTATAGCGATGACAACAACGACTTGTTTTCTACAGATGTAGAAAGGCATTTTTTTACATGTGCAGGAAGCAACAAAAAAAACCTTAGGAGACAGGTAGGTGAGTTGCCTTGCAAGAAATAAGCCAAATAATCCTTAAAGTTGTAGCGACACATACAGAGCCAGGAGCCTGACAGCTCTGCACACAGAGGTATTTTCACATTCTCTTGATTGCTGCAGTGAGCGCTGTGCTCCTTTCTAGTTACAACTTTGTTCTGAACCCTTGAAGTAAAATCCATCAGTTATGGCAAATACATTGGAAAACGGCCTTGCAAACTGTTATCAGATACCCAAATATGCCTCCAGGAAGCAGGGATGATGCACTAAAGGAGGAGGCTCAGGTGAAAATCTGTTTTGTCACAAACCAAGCCAAACAAAACAAATTGTCTTCTTAAGCCATTCTTCTTAGCTCAAAGGATTACATGTAAAATTTATTTCATGATTTATACAACAAACATTTGTATGGCTAATTATAATGCTGTAAGAAATATACAAATATGATAATAAGAGTTAGTATTTATGGAATATCCTCTGTATACCACGCTGTACTAGAGGTCTACCACATACATCTGAATGCTTACATTAATATAAAAATTAATCCTTATAGTACTACAACAATACTTACATTAATATAATAAAAACAGTTGATTATTACTATCCCCCTTTACAGAGGAGAAACTGAGGATCAGAAAAGTCAAGTGATTTGTCAAACTATTAGGGGCTGGTTCATAGTGTAGAATTCTAATCTACATCTGATTTAATCTGGGACTTCTATCTTCAACTGCTACCACATTGCCTTTCTGTACAATTCTTGCTTTGTCCTTAAGGAGCCTTTAATCTGGTGGTAGACTACACCAGATGAGGAATCATAGAAATTATGCCTATTAGAACACTGACAGGACTAAGTGCTTGAGGAAGGTGAGAGTTTCAGGACAGAATTATTCAGGTCAGACCAGTGTCTTGGAGCCCTATGTCTGTGGCAGCAGAGCAGGGAGGAGAGTGGGTGGTTGATTGGTGCTCAGTTATCTTTCCCTCTGCAGGTAATCCATCAGAAATAACTGATTTCTACATGTATCCTGCTAAACTATCACTGAAAGTGCTGTGTAAGACAGAGTGAACTTCCATCCCCAAGGGTGCCTGCCAATAAAGTAACTAGTTGCTCACATATTTTCCAGTACAAGTGCTTCATTATTAATTCATGGTCCAGGTCCCCGGTACATGCTGTTACTAATATTAGGTTTCAGCAGAGAATAATGAACAGGAGCACTGGACTGGATGTCTTAACATTTTTTAAACAATGTTTGCAGTGCTAAATTCTATTTCGGGCTTAATTGGGGTCTTTACATAAACAAGAGGAGGGCTGTGTAG